GGAATTGTAGTTTTCATTGACACGCAAAATATGTGTGTGCCAGTGTTAAATTAGAAAATGTACACTATCACAGTGGGTAAGGATAATACAGGAAATAAAGGAATAAGAGAGAATCATAAATAACCTGAAAGATAACAATAAAGGATAAACAATAATGATTATTCCGTGAAAAAATGAGGGAGAAAATGTTCCTCATTACTAAATTAGATATTCATACATTATGAATAATACGGTTACACATAAAACAAAATGGCAATAACTGATATAAAAAAAAAAATGTGTATGAAATCTCGCGAGATACGATTTTTGCCTCAGCCAAACTGGCGTTATTACCATTGATGCTGTGACAATGCGCTAAAGTTTATCGGTTTTTATTGTGTAGTAAGAGGTTTCTAAGACATATAACATTTCCACACATTTACAGTACCACAAAGTATGGCGTATGTACGTCCAACTATAAGAAAGGTATGCTCATCAAACTCGCAAACGTTGTGCATACTCTAGTGTTATGAAGACCCAGACTTGGCACGGTACGATTCCAAGACTCGTGTTTCCGATCTTGGGTGCGATTTTACAGACCAACTTACCCTATTATTTTTATCACAAAGTTTTTGGGGTCGTTAGCTTCAGCTAAGGATAACATAATTTGATTAATTTTTTGTTGGTGATTACATGCTTTTAAAGTGATACAATTTATTTTTACTATTGCCTATTTATTTGTATCCACACTTGTTTGACTGTATCTCAGACATGAGTGTATAAACTCACACACGAACATACACATAATACAATTCACAATCATAATTTGCTTGCTTAGCCCATAGTTTCAGTCACTTCATTAACTTTAGATCTGTGTGTGAACTGAAACTATACGATTTCAGGTCTTCCAAATTGATGACAGTTTGCCTGGCAGTATCTTCCTGGATGGACTCTTCTCATGATTTGTGCGCATGGCTATGCCTAAAAGTAAAAACAATATTAATGGTTTTATTTTACATCTTAAATTCATATTAGTTGAATATAAAAATCCACAAAAAAAACATGAACAGAAAAAGTATATGAAACTACAGGCTTCTTTTCCCTGTAGACACACGTCCTGGAGGAGTGCATATGCGATCGGAAGTAGTGGGACTGGGGGACAAGTCAGTACTGTTAATATTATAAAAGTTCCATGCCTCAGGTTAAGTCAGCTGCTATTTTGGCATGTGATCGGAATAGAAATAATGATTTACAGGAAGTCAGTGCTACTTGTGTAGTGCATGAAGTCATACATGTAAGTAGGCATCCACGTTTACAGGGACTAGGTAGAGTGAAGTTGAAATTTGGTCATGAGCTGCCAATTATTAGTGCTGCCAGTGTTGCACCAACTAATTGGAAAGTGAGTGGTATGCCTGTTGTTCAAGGCTTCATTGGCAGGTAGAAGTCATTTGTGATAGTGACTGGGCGAGTGATGATGGGTGGTATACAAAAGCCCCAGTACCTAGACTATATATAGGTACACCCTGCTATGTTGATAAGGTCGAGGCGCTGTGTTGGAGGACCCCAGGGTATGATCTTATTATGGGTAATATTAATTGGTCTAGGAAGCCCAGGGATCCTGATTTGGAGGTAGGGCATGGTGACGGTAGTTCGCCCTTGGGAGGCGAACATAGTACTCCTTTAAGTGATGGCACTAGCATGCCCTCTGGTGATGAAGGTTGTTGTCCTTCGGGTATTGAGACCAGTGTTCCTTTAGGTAACGATGGTTGTACATCTACTAGTAGTCAGGCTAGTGTGCCCTATATTAATGAAGGTTGTGTTCACAGGTGTTGAGTTAAGAGTGCCTTCAGTTTGACGAAGTGGTTGTGAACCCTGCATTGATTCCAGTCAGGATGATAGTGTTGACATGTGCAGGTGGTACAGACTAGGGCTGAGAGGTTAGCTGAGAAAAAGCCATTACGTAGGCTTATAGTTTCTGGGTTTACGAAATTGATAAACATGTTACTGTGGATGCAGTGTAAAAGGCACAGCAGTCTGAATCTATATTAGAGCGTGCTAGGAAGTTAGTGAGTACAGGTGAGGAGTTGATCATGGGTCGGAGCAATCGGGAAAAGTTTGTGATGAACAAGGGACTGATGTATTATTTGAACTATTGTGTTACCTTGATCAAGTACTAGCACTTGCTCATGAGTCAGTTAAGGCAGGTCATCTGGGTGCTAAGAATACTACAGATAGGATAGCAACTCAGTTTTATTGGCATGGGATGCAGGATGATGTTATTAGGTATTGAGGGTCATGTGGCACTGTCATATCCATATCGTTTTTTAGAGCTGGAACATTACTTGTTATTATCTTCAAGAACTTTACTGGTATCAACATTGTTCTAATTATTTTTAAGTTGTTTGCTTTGATGTACAATTAGAGCTTTATAAATGTACAACCTCTTTTCTTGTTATAATTTGAGGTTAATACGGGTCATACACTACTGCTATTATAATTGATAATTATAATCGTTATTATAATATATTCAATGTGGCATGACGTTGAAAATAATTTGCGGTGTTGAATAAATAATATTTCCAATAAAACTGTGCAGTGCAGTGAAGAGTATACACGACGAGGGTGCATTCAGTGTGTATAACAACGAACTACTTAAATTCGCATAGCGTCCATACGGGAACGTCTTTAATTGTCAGATCGATAAATCAAACTCTCAGATCAAAATCTATGCTGTGTCGCCAAAAAGGGTTTGCTTTTATAGTGTTTAAATGAGTCTACTGTCGGGGTAACCAAGTTTTTGTATTTTCACTCAATCACTTTGAGATCCAGGTTTTCGAGGTTTTTTAAAGTTCTCAGTTTCTTTTCAATTTGTTGTTCAATTTTTGACGAAAAAGCACAAACTGTTTTTGACATTGTTTTGTGCTGTACGGATCTCGATTGTGTTTTATTACCATGTGTATAATTTGCATACCTAAATTATTACATGGACAAATGAATAATTTACATAGTTATATCCTGGCTCATGAAGAACATAACTTTAGTCTTCTTATTCAAATATACACAACCATAACATTGAACTCGAATGCCAATTCATAATGTGGCAATTCAAGTTATGCAACAAATGCCAAGAAACATAACATAGAATTGTTTGTTGTTTGTTTTGATATCGACATGATATAATATGTTATTTCAACTACACATAAGGGAGAAATAAAACACCAACGTTTAACTTTACCAAGTGATTCTGCATGTGCTAATGTGTTCACTTTGGTTCCAGTGCAATCAATAATCGAGTCTGCTTCAATTTCCTTGCCTTTATTAGTCGTTACTTTAAACATCTCTTTCATGACATGATCAAGAAGATCATCCATGTTCTCAACTTTCACTATTGCACAATCAAAAAACTGAATACCAGGAATACAAGGAATTATATTATGTTGGTTTGTATAAATAATATGTTCATGTTTTAACGTAAGCAGAGATAAAGTATACAACAAACACACTTTAATTTACCCAATATCAGTTGTACTCTTACGGAATTCAATTTTACGCCTCGTCTTCTTGTGGTATTACAGAAAGCGTCTGATACAATTATTTTTTGAGACAAAATACGTAGAGTTGGTCACAGTGTGAGTCTTTGTTGTGCAACTAATGGAAAGCCAAGCCCAGACTATTATTCGGCCATCACCGAATAATACTTACATATGAATTTACCGAATGAGCATGGCTATCGTTATACGCTTAAACATTGACAGGTTTAAGGATTCTGTTATAATCGGACAAGATGTCTGCCATTACAATTATACATTGACTTTAAATAAATTCTAGATGCTGAAGATGATGTTGTATACACGTGTAGAGCCTATAGTGAGGCAGCAGCACAATATTCTTAGCCCTCGACTTTGGTAATAGTAGGTAAGAGGAACCGTAATATTATGCACCAAAGATCAGCAATTGATTTGTGGATGAAAAAAGACATAATATGACTTCGAACCATGAAAACATATGATTTGTGAATGGCTCAAATTTTGTGAAAGAATGTAATCATAGCATTATCATTAGATTATTGGAGGGCTGAACATTTGATATATTGGCGAACTATTTAGCTGAATGAAGTCGTATATTTGCAGTGAGATGTGCATGAGGAATCTTTTTGAAACAAAAATACATTCCAGTGTCGTTATATATTACATGGCAACAAAGGTAAACTATGTTTTTGATTTAACTTTGTAGTTCCCGAAACTGACGCTCATACTTTTTTCTTTTCTTTTATAAAATATAATGTGAGTGTGTAAATGACGATAGGCTTATAATAAGTCGGATTACCGCGAAATAAACAAGAAACTTGTGTCAATTGTAGTGGTCCCCTTACTATCAATTTTAATGAGCATTTCAATGAAATCTCAAATTGGCAAAATTTAAAATCACATTTTACTTGTATTTCTATAAATATGGTAGCAACGTGTTTTTGGATGAATACAGAAAATGTTCTGTTCAAATATTGTACACGCCAATCGCCATATTTTAAACTAATCCATATTAGAATGATTGATACATAACAACGCTTCGAAAGTATTCTTCCGGTTCAGAGCGTCTTCCAATGCTACAGTAGCAATGTAATATGAACTCAACAACATTCATCTGATTGCTGTAGAAAATAGCGACAATAAATGCAAATACAATGAAAACATCAGTTCAATCACTCATGAGGATCGCCGCATTGTTTCTGCACATGCCGTTCAATCTGTGAGCGGAATCAGACTGACGTGATGGTCGGCGACGGACGACTGATATATGTAGTTCCGTGGTTCGGAGATACATAAGACTCGAGAATCAAAGCACAGACCATATAACAAACACACATCTTATTTTAATTAATAGATTCGAGTGTAATTGATTTAATATGCCAGCCTGCCTCTGTGCTTATCAATCTCAGACCAGACGGAATAGAATAGATTATACTTACACCAACGTACGCCAGGATTGACCTGTATGACCTTGAGAATCGCATGCTGCTATTACAACGATAGGTTACAATTGTTCGAATCTCCCGTTGACGATGACTGAATGCAGTATGCGTTATAATTACCTGGGTAACTCTGGATTGAAAGTATCCAACATATGCCTGGGTACTCTTACATTCGGCGAAAGCGAGGTAAGTGACGACCCTTTGTTCATATGATCCACATCGCTAACGATTTGCCCGTAAATAATGCAATACCACCCATGGACCATGCGTACTTTATGTTGTTGTTAGAACTAGATTAGTATTAAAATTACTGATATCGGTAATTTTCAACCTCACTTTCAAAAACATATACACTAGCAGAGCAATACATGTAATTCGAAAATATAGACCTGCCCAGGTTGAACTTTGAAATTTGTGTTGTAACATTTAAACAAAATCCCCACCCCGGCGTCTGCACGAAATTTTGCATGTGGGAGGGGGCGAGATCTGCTCACCAACCTTGCGCCAAACAAGCGCTACTAATTCATTCCATAGTAACATGCGATTGTTTCACCAATAATACCTCACACGTCTGCCTATACATATTGCCTGGTTGGGGTAAGGGGTCAGGGATGTCATTTAATAAAGCCCTATAAAATATATAATGAAATACATATTCAATCTGTGGTTAAAACAAATATTTTCACAGTACGAACTCGTGGCTGTAACACCATGCACTGTTCAGTGTGCCACACCAATTAATCAATCTCTGCTTGACATGCTTATCAATGCATAACCTGATGACATTTATTCGCTAAGATATTATGCACTCTGACTAAAACTAAACACTCATGGAGAAGGGAAGTAAAGGGGACCGGGTCCCTACTTCAGGGGTACCAATGAAAGTGTAGCGTTTTAATGAAAATCACAGCTTTGACACCGTGCAGCATAGCTTGGTCAGGAAAAGCTTAGCTGCAGGAATGAAATCCGCTAGTTTTGACATCGAGAACTCAAGCTTTGAACATATTTTGATGTTGAGGGCGTACACAACATGGCTGCCTCCAAAAGCAGTGTTAGCGACGGTAAGTATTTTACTCGCTTTCTAAACAAAATCACCAAGTTATGCTGTGTAATATGCCGCAATCGGTGAAGTTCAGGTTCAATTTCATTTCTAGAAAGTTTCAGCCATCATTTTATGAAACTTGCAGAGAAATCTCAATTCCAATTTTCGAAGCGAACGGGCTAGCAGGACGTCCTATTCTTATACATGTACTTGGATTTTATGAGTGTAAAGACGTGGTGGCTAGCGCATAAA